GCCGGGTACTACATTATGTTATAATAATAAAAAGAAAACGCCGTACGTTGGCCGCGTGTCATTTACGCGTCCCGTCGTCGACCATATAATAATATACGCATATACATATTATTTGCGCACAATACACGCGCATAACGATGATAAACCGGTAAGTGTGAATAATGAACGTTGTCCCGGCACGAGGGTACGTGTAGAAAATTGAAGTGAACAATTTTTTATTATTTTTTTTTTTTTATTGACCGTGCGGAAAGACGGGCGGCGTGAATAGTAATAATAGTGAACGCTCGGGGCTCGGTCGGCCTAGGGGAAGTTTCCGTTTTGCGGTGTCGTTGAACTTCCGTAGCCGTCTCCGCGGTACGGAATAGAGGTGTACTAGCCGCTGTTGTGCGCGAATTTTTTTCAAAAAAAAAAAAATATATATATATAAACAAATTTCCCCTCTAACAGCCGCGTAGTGCATATGCAATATTATAGCCGCGAGCGCGCACCAGCTGCCGCGAAAAATTGTTTTTACGTTGCACGTGCAGTAATATGTATAGCATTTGCGTTCGTAATTACTAGCGAACGGAATTATATGCACTTAATACCCACAAAAAACGTCAAAAAAAAAACCTTAAAAAAAAAATGCATAAAAAATATTTTAAAAATGAAAAACGCTAGAGGAGTTTAAAAGTTAAGGGGGACTTAATGGCTCTAACTTATTAAATACATTTTTATAACAACACAAAAACGATTTTTTACTGCATGTACTATTTTGTTGTGTTAAAATATTTTATTTTAAAAATTAGAGCCATTGAAGGGGATATTCAAAATCCCTTTACCAATTTTGTTTTTCTAAATATTTTCTAAGTGATTTTTTAACATATTTTTTTTGGATAGGGGGGATTATCTGGCTACTTTATAACTATCCCATTTTACAATCAATTCTCCTACCATCTTTTTCCATTGCCAGATCCTTTCAGTTTGATCAGCCTCCAATGCTTCTACGTCCTATCTAACTGCATCCTCCCATCTTAATCTAAGAGACTTTTGCCTACCGAGTTTCGATCCAAAACCGGTTTTAATAGAAAATTTTGTTTTCTCCCCTTACTGTATATCCTCCCCAACGTATTCTTCCCTTCTTGATAGTCTCTACCACGTTCTTTTCGTTATACATTTTTCGTAGCTCTCCATTTTTTCTTCGTCTCCATCCTCCTGTTTTATCATCATTTATTGGCCCTTCCGTAGTATTTTTCTCTTTAGTATCAAGAATTTATTTTCATCTGATTCCTTAGTGGCCAGGTTTCTGTTCCGCACAATATTACAAATCGTAACTGAGTGGTATACAATAGTTTCTTTATCTCTTCTTTATCTCTCTCGATAACGGTCTTGTACTTAATATCTTCGCCAGTCCATAGTAGGCCTTCTTTCCCTTTTGAATTCTCGTGGCTACTTCTTTATTGATGTAATTTTTTTCACTTGAAATTGTACTAAGATATTTGAAATGATCTACCTTCCTAAAATTCAAATTGATCCACTTCCATAAATACGCAAATCGACCAATTTCGTCTTTAAACCATTATAAACGAATTCAGTTTTCTGTTCATTAATAAATAGTATTACTTTTTATGCAGCGTCATTAAGTCTTTCCAAAAGGCATTTTACCTAGGTTTGTGATTCTATTTCATTAGTATTACATCATCTGCATATGCCAACAAGCTAATAACCAAGTCCCGTAGTTTTATTCCTTCGTGAGTTTTAATTCTCATCACTCTTATTAAGACAGGAATCGCCTTGTCTTAAGCCAGATTTTACTGTAACTGGATCTGATTTCATTTTTCCAACTTAATTTTAACCAGGGTTTCCAAAATGTTGATTGAGACTAAGCTGACCAATATCTGTAGGAATTTGAACTCTTTCAAGATATTCATGAGACTTTCCCTATATTGCTGTACGCTTTTTTTAAATCAACGAATAACCTATGTCCTTATCGAATTCCCATATAATTTGATATATTAATAATGAACATATGGTCCGCCGTTGATCTTCCTGCCATAAAACCACCTTGATACTCCTCAATTGTTCGCCATGGTTTTCCCTTTATTCTAGTTAAAATATAGCTTGAGAAGACTTTGTACGACACGTTAAATAGGAACTATCCCCTTGCAGTTGTTGTGGTTTCGTTTTTCACTTTTTTATGTACTAGATAGATTTCAGTAGTTTTTCAATCACCCGGAAATTTTTGTCATATGGAACATGGAAGAGATAATAATATAATTTCAAGAAATAAAACTATTTGAGTGAAAAAAAAAAATTGAATTTTGTTTCCACAAATATATACATTAATGGGGGGGGGGGCGGTTGTTCCCTTTGCCATCCCTCAAATACGCTACTGTCGCATAGGAATAAATACACCGACTGTTCTCGATACTGAACTAATTTTGAAGTGGCATAGTGCCACTAAAATAGCCATGAAATAATTTATAAAATTGAGGAAAGCGCGAAAACCTTCATCTTTTATGACCCTTTGAAAGTTAACGACTCGTATATTGACGCACCATAATACTAATTAACCATTAAATTAAAATACTTCAATATTTTGGGGAAAGAAATAATAGTAGAAATATTTAATAAAAACTGGCTGATTTAATAAAATGCGATATACGAATGCACTAGTTGTTTCCCACACCGAAGTGAACAGGAAAAATGTATTTATTGCAATATAATATGTGGATCAGTGTATATTAGGATGTCTACTTGAATAAACTCGAGTACTCGACTTTAATCAACTGTTTTATTTAAACAAATTAACTAAAAATTAAGTATAATTCACTTTAAACCCAGATATTTCGAATAAGATTACGATATTGATCGTTTGAATTTACAAAAGTAGTTTGATACTTTATGATAACAGCATTTATTGTCATATTCAGTGACTTTGGGTGTTATTGCCTCCTATTATTATTTTTTAGTTACAGCTAAGGTCAAGAAGTTGCAGACCCCTAAACCCACATAAATAAATCTTGGCTACGCTACTTACGACAAATTTGTTTTTTGGTACTTATTGATTCAAGTACTTGAATCGACTCAGTTAAATGAGTATTTGACTCTAATTGACTAAATTTCAAAAAAAACCTAAAACTCGTCCAATCTTCTAAATGTTTTATTCTTAAAACTCTTTATAGATTTATTACGACGAAATACGTATCGTTAAACGGTATGTATGTAATTATCTACAATATTTTAGATTATTATTAAAGAAATCACAATAAAAATAACATTGGTGGATTTAAGTATCTAGGTACCTAAAATCATTTTCGTACGCGCAATAAACTTTTGAATTGCGTAGTAAAAATCGACACAATGAGCTTAATAAAAAATTCGGTTGCCAACAAGCAAAATGTCGGAAAAGTTCATAAAACGACGTAATAAAATTAATTCTATGCACGGTTTGTGTGTGTGATAGTGGGATTTTCGAGATTACTTATTTTATTTTTACAGACGGAGTGCCTTTCAACCATTTTTTAAATATTTTATATCAGTTTATAAGTTTTAAGGGTCGCTGAACCCATACTTCGTATCAGTTTTTTGATTGGTCTTTAATTAACGGGGACTAGGGGCAGGCATAGTTTTGTGTTTTAAAAATCACTGAACCCAAATTGAAAATTCGATAAATATTAGGAACATTAAAGGGAGAATACATTTTAAATATTTCTAACTTTAATTTATATTAATTTTGTCAATTTTAAAATAATAGTAAAGATTGAACTTCATTTGAGAATTCTTGAATTTTCTTTTTGTGCAATTTTCTTAAGCTTGAAATATAATATGGAAATTACATCAAATAAAAGAATATTATTACTGAAAATAATTATTCGTTATGTTATTAAATTGTATTTTTATCTACACAACAGATAAAAATTATCAATATAATATGATAGGAAATTACTTTTCGTTTATGTCCAGGCGCTATACCTGTTATTTCACTTAAGACTACGAATGCGCACTGTTATTTAATTTTTTTTTTTAATAAAATGAGAACAAGATAATTATATATGTTAAAAATATTACAACTATTAATTTACCTTTATTCAAAATATTTAACTATAAAAGTATACATTGTAATTATACATTATAGTATGAGTGTATTTAAAAATTTACCAATTTTTCACTCATTAAAACTACCTCTATATTATAATCTTAGTATAATTTATTAATTTCATAATAGTTTGGTTTGCCTCCTATTGCCCCTGTGCACAGTATTAAATTTTAATACTACTGTATATGTACAGTATATCACTGATATAATTTTTCTAAGTAATTAAATCAAACTGTTAGGTACGTCTTCTAAGTAGAACAGAAACGTTAGATACATTGATATGGTTACAATGCTGAGAAAAAATGGGCCTCAAAATCCACTGAGTATTCAGTCAAGAGATTTTTTTATTTTCAAAAAATACGGTAACAATCGAAAAATCCATTTGTTTAAAATATGTATTAAGTACCAACGAAATTATTAATAATTTATTAATCGTATACAAGGGGGAGGGGTTGGGAGTTCAAACACTCCCATGATAATAGTTATGTAATTTATTCATATCAATTTAATATATATATATTTTTTTATAAATATTGATGGGTGTAAATTTGTTATGAAATCCTCCCCAATTTTTTTAGGTGACGTGCCTGAATAATTTGTCAAATCACAGAATTGAGTAGAATGTAATGATACAGTATAAACAATTATTATTATTATTTTTTTTAAACAAATAGTTTATAAAAACAATGAAGAATAAGATTACAATAAACGAAATAAAAAAAGTAATAAATAAGTAAAAAAGGAATTAAATCATACACAAAACATGCTGCTCCAAAAAAAAAAAAAAAAAATGTTTAACAAATATATTTTAATCGATTTTCGGAATTCCAATACGTTTGTGCATTCCGCTTTAACGTAGTGGAGGTTATATTAATTTAACCTGATAAACTTAACCTCATCCACGATGAACTCTGGAGATATTTTAATATCTAGTTAATTTGACAATACTCATACTTTCGTGATTCCAGTCGATCAAATGCATATATCCTTTATTTCGTGTGTTAATATTTTTAATTTTGACGGCATCGTCTCCGCTCTGGACGTATCGTTTTCCAGCTACAGCAACAATGAGACCAACTACTCGTGTCATATTGTACGTCTACCGGTACAATTATTTCGTATCCGCAATGTACGTAAAATCCGTAATTTTGAAGTAAAACCGACTGAAACGCGGTCCCTGATCCGGCGAGCGTCTCGACGAATCCGTCGTTGATGATACTGGCACATAATTTCGCGAAATTTAGACGAGCTAAAGCCTTAACCGGAAATAATATACACAATACGATACGAGTCGGTTGTCTTCGGTTCTTCGCCGTTAGTGCGACCGATTTCAGGTACACCGCGTTATGATTAGACGAATTCAAATGATGGACGATGGATTTGATACGGTTCGAGATTTTCCGTATAAATCACAACGCATGTGGCCAATTGCAGTGTCATAGTAATATTATGTGAATAAAATTTGAAGTCGAGAAAAACGTTTGTAAAAAATAAAAAAAAAACTATGCTTCATTTATTAGTCGTTATAATGTATAATTACCGTGGTATCAGCCATGTTACGAACACTAAAAATGTACGTACGAAAAAAGCGAGAACAAACAGCGAGTGTTTAATGTAACACGAAATCGGATTCAAAAACAGTATTGAGTATTTGCAAAATATTCGCGACAAAAAATCAACCCAAGTTATTAAAAATCGAGAATCACGGAACGCTTTATATAGAAAATAGTAATAAACAGAAACAAAATCGGTTGCCAAGGTTTATAAACGTATTCGTTTGAAACGTCGCGCGGCCATTATGACATAATATTCTCGAGTGCTGAGTTTTTGGCCGAAACATAAATAATGATTAGCGTTAAAATTAAATCTAACACGGTCGTACAATACTCACGTCCGGCATTATTCGTATCTATTGTGTACAATGTTGGACCGATGAAAATTCTAAAATTCGGTGCACCGATACATTTCCTATCCGCCGCTGTGACTATTATTAACTCCTCGGTGTGGAAACCAGATCATATAGCTCTTGGCACAATTTTCAAAAAATGTCGGTAATTTTTCAGTTACTTATAGACATTTTAAATTTTCGAGATATGTAGTTTTTTTTTTTTCTTTAGGTTTTTCGGATATCAATTAAAATGTACACCGTCTCGCGCGTTCCGCTTGAAAAAAATAGTATGTATAGGTACGACGCTAAACTTTCTCAAAAACAAGTCGAGGAATCGAGATCATCTAAGCCCCCTCTCAGCAGGTCGGGGAGGGAGGGGAGGGGAACCGGGGCTGTAGCCTAACCTAACCGACAGCTCTCAATAGCGGACGTTTGTTCGGGAACGGGGACGTTTTGCACTACTTTCCAATGGGAAAACCTCCCGAGTCGCGGGCTCTCCGAAAAGCGGTCGCTATATTAATCTTAATTTAAAAAAAAAAAAACCAAACGGCATTCGCATTAGTACGTACTCTCGTAATAACGTAATAACGACAACGGACTCGACAAGATTATGGATATCGGACACCCGTCACGGCGGATTATCATTGACGCAACAGTGTCAACACGGCAACAGCGTGAAGATTTAACGACGACGACGACGACGACGAAACCGCCGTTCGACGAACTCATTGCCGAACGTTCGAACGGTGTGACGAGAACGCGACGGCCGGCGTTTCGTTTGTCTGGTTCGCTTTTCGACAAACGACTAGCGGGGTGCGGCATTGCGACGGGCGGGGGCCCGGGACGTCCGCGGCGGCGGTGAGTTTAACGTCGGACGACAGAGCGGGGACCGGTTCGCCGCCCGCGGCCCGCGGTTTCTCGCCGCCGTCCCGGCACCCGGTTCGACCGCCGTCCGAACACCGCGATGCGCGCCAGTCGTACGCCAAGCGGGTTTATTACATTCATCTGCGTTTCATCGGCCGCCGTTCGTCCGTCGCGAAAACCGAACGCGCGGCCTCCGCGGACCGTTCGACGTCGCGCGCGCACCACACGCACAACGCCGGCTCCCGAAAAAATACGGCCGGCCGGCGGGTGTACAACGCAAATTTTACGACCTTGTCGAATGTGATTTGCATCGCGAAAAAAATATATCAAAACCCGCCGCCGCCACGGCGTTGCGTGTTTTTATTGTTCTCGCGTCGCGTACAATGTTCGAGCCGACGAGAATGTTCGCGCGCCGCGCGTAACGGAATTATCGCGCGTCCCGCATGCGTTATTACGCATTACGGTCGCCCGCCTCCGGCCGCCCGTCGACGGAGCCTCCCCTCCGGCCGCCCGCGGAATGAGAAAGATAATATAATAAAATAAATTGAATATTTTTAACGTGTACGTATTCGCCAATAAAAACCGGCGAAATCCAATTGCCGCGGCAGTGTGTATACGGTTTTATTTTAACGCGCAATAAACCGTTAGCGCGTATAAAGTTGTAAAAATTAATGGGGGCAACGACAATATATCGGCATATCGCGGCGGTGACTGGTAAATTTTCCAAATCGAACATTAAAAAAAAAAAAAAATAATAAAAATACATACGTATATACAATACAATACAATACAATACGATTCCGTAAAATACGAACGGAAATGTTATGGTGGCCGCCGGGCTGGACATTTTTTGTTTGTGTTTTCTGTTGGGCGCAAACAAGTTCCCCTCAAATGTTCCAGTTCTTTCAAACGATCCACTGTACACACTGTCGCGAGCGTCGATTTTATCAATACCGTTTGATTATAAACGGTAAATTATAATAATTAATAATTACCGTTTTACAACTTGTTTTTTTCGCAGTCTAAATAAATAATTACATTTCCGAAAAACAAAAATAACTACACCAAAACGAGAAATGCATTGCTATTTAAAAAAAAAAACAAACAAACAACAACAACGAAATGTACGCTTATTATTTAGATCGCGGAGAACAGAGTTTTTGACATTTTCGACGAATTACCGTTAAAAAAAAACCCCTCGATTACATTAATATAGTACCCGTAATATAATGCCGTCGGTCGGTTTCGAGTAGACATTTTGCAGAGGTCCCCCCCGACGCCGCCACCGCCGCCGCCGGAGCTGCAAAAGTAGTAAAACCGTCAGCGCGTTATAATAATGTACATTAATAATAATAACATTGTCACGGACTATCGTGTTGAATTATTATCATACGTATCGCAAATAATAAGGTTTATTACCGTTTTATGACAGGGCCCCGGGCCGGATAACGATTGGTTTTGACGAAAATCGACGATAATTCCGTGTTTTATCGTCGATCCCGATAGTCGGCCCACTCTCCCGTCCCCCCCCCCCCCCAACCGCCGGACAAATATTACCGTCGCACATAAATAACGCTTTTATTTATAGCATTTAATTTCTCAAATGGACCGATCGGCTCTCGTATACACGCCACCTTCCCCGTGTACATAAAATATAATAATATATTTAATATGGCACATCGACGTTATGTTTCCCACTTTGCAGCACCGTACCAAATTGTTTTGGCGCCCGTCGTAAATAAATAGTACAGCACCGGACAAATAATAATAATCATAAAAAATTAACGCCGTCGTTGTACGGTCCGACTCCGATTTTTCCGGGCTTTTATTTCGGGAGTCCCGCAGTGCCACTGACATAGGCGTCCGCAGACCCACATGTACCGATCATGTTAATTTGACGGTCCGTTCTCTCGTGCCGGTGACGTGTAGACGTTTTCCCGGAAATCCGTATAGATACTCGTCCGTCTTTCCTATACATTTTTCACAATTATTATGAGCTTTTCATGTGCACCAACTAGATCCGAAATGCAACAAGAATATTTTTAGATCGCAGCGAGATTTTTGGCGGAAAAGTCGTTTACAGATAGAAAAAGCGCACAGCACAGTAAAACCAACTACGATCCTCGCTTCGCTCAGAATCTAAAATATACCCAAGCAACTGCATGTTTTGCTATAGTCCCTAAATGTCGAAGAAAACGCGAATTAACGCCTCGAAAAATGCTAAACGCTTTTCCAAAATACGTCGGATTAAAGTCCCGTGCGTCTTTTGACGTTATACCGGCAATTCATATCTGAGACCGGGAAACCCGAAATTCAACCAAAGTGTCGTACGAGAATTTCGTTGTTGCTATAAATACATTAGGCGCGAGACGGACTGCAGAGGACACAAATGTCGGTGTCGCGAAATGCCCCTTAATGGCATTTGGATTGCTCGAATTTCCTCGGCGGACCGCGACATTCCGAATACATCGGATGTTTCAACGTTATAATATATTGTCCGAACCGAGGTGAACGAGATGAACGGATTAATGCCGGAATCCCCGGTACAACAGTCCTGAGGGGTCGGTCCCGACGTCTCTTTATCCTGTTTCGCGACCTTACATGCGCGAGTCGAGAAGACGACAGCGGCGGCGCAAACTTCGGACCCTCGAGAGTGCATGTCGGCCGGTGCATCCAAGTAAGTATAACGGACCTAACTCTATATACATATATTTACGCGTAGCCCCTCGGCCACGGTTTGTGAATTTCGTAATCTCCTATCGGATATCTGCCTTAATTAATTGGTACTGTCTTAAAGTTTAATTGGTTTCCGGCGTCTCACTTGTGACGCGTATTTTACCGCGTGTCCGGACGATTTTCGCTCACAACAACAACCTACACGTACAATATAATACTATGCGTACCGCCGGTCCGCCGAGTATGACCTCGACATTTGACGTACGCGTAACGGGCTATTACATTAACGCGCCGCCGGAGGAAACTTCGATTTCTCGTTGTTTTCGGTCATGTTAATGGAGCGGACGAAGTTATATTCCGACGGAAATTAATATTAATGCAACACCGCCGTCAACGGTGTCCGTTATAATAATTTTAAGTCCGACCGCGTTAACGTTGAAACCCGAATTAAAAAAAAAAAAAAATTGAAATTCCGAGTCCTGTAGACTCGAGACGTCGTCGCGGACTCTGTATATTGTCCTGTAATTTGTATATTAAATACAAACAACAATTATAAAAAATGTCTGTACTAATGATTTACGAAATTGCTTAGCTCTTTTTTGATATCACAACTTTTCTAACTTGCGTTTTTTTTTTTCTTAGCAAGGTTTTTACACTTGGTC